CCCCCCCCTCCTCTCTCTCTCTCTCTATCTTTTTTTTTTCACCGAACAAACTACCGGCTGCGCACCCGTGCCCTCACGGTAAGTCAATCAATACCTGTAGATGGTTATAGGCGAATATGAGGAAAGTGAGTAACTTGGGCACCTGGGTTTGCAGGACCATAAGCAGTTGTGAATTCGAGATTCTCAACCCTGGTTCTATTCCCCCCTACAGGTCCCGTAAAAAGCTAAGCTGGGTAAGGCTCCCAGTCCCGGCCTTGCGTTTTATGCCCCTGAGATATTTTTTTTCGTCGTCCTTTTCCTCTGTTATACCGGTCGTTCATTCCCGCTGGTTGGTCGTTGGAAGGCTCCAAAAATGCTCGTGGGACTGCGCAGGGTTGGTGCAGGCCGCGGTCCTTGAGCTGCGAGTTTCAAAAAGGAAAGGGTGCAGGGGCTGGGGCAGAAAGTCTGAAACGACGCCGTGGGGGCCGCAGGTCCTTGAAATTCAAATACGAAAGGGCGTGGACCCAGGCCTACAGCCTCATGCCCAGCCCCAGCCCACCCACTTCCGCCCAATAGGCCTAGTCACTGTTCTGGATGATCTCGTCTGAATCTGGAAGCAGTTCTGAACCAGATTCAGAAAAAGAGATGTTCTCTCTCTCTCTCTCTCTCTCTCTCTCTCTCTCTCACACACACACACACACACACACGCGCGCGCCCGCATACACACACACAGGGCCTCGCCACAGCCAAAACGAAACTAACTCCGGGCTGCGCACCCGTGCCCTCACGGTAAGTCAATGGGGTTGCCGGCCCCGCTTTATTCTCAGCAATGAAAAGAAAAAAGAGGAGATAAAAGAACCCCGTAGATCTGATGGGTGGAGTATGGAGGCGGAGCAGCTAAGCCAGAGAGGCGGGCGTCGTTTGAACTGGCAGAGGAGTCCAACGTCTCTGTTCAGTTTTCGCGCGGCATGGCACGCGCTCAAATGGCTTCCTCCCGCGCTCTTCTCTTCGGCGCCGCCAAAGCTTGCCGCTCCAACGACTCTTTTCAGTTTTCGCGCGGCATGGCGCGCGCTCAAACGCAAATGGCTTCCTCCCGCCGCACTCTCGTCTTCGGGCCCGCCATAGCTTGCCGCTCCCGCCCCGCTCACAAGTGGTGCATTCTCCGCGCATGAACGCGCCCCTCTTCTCTTTGCTCCCCAGTCGCACTACCCGTAGTAGGGGCAACATCCAGCAAGCAGATTGGGCGGGATAGAGCGGAAGCGGGACGAGTAAAGGGGTGGAGGCGGCAGTTGCGCCAGTAGGGGCAACTCCCAAGTTAAAGAATTGGGCGGCAGGACGCAAGCAGGGGCGGGGAGGCGGAGAAGGGTAGAGTGCACCCAGAGGAGGGGGAGCAGGGGCCCGGGGGGGAGCGCGGGCGTGGCCGTGGGCGAAACAGACAACGGTGGCCAAGTATATCAAACTGTGCCACTGCGCTTTGCGCTGCTTAGCGCTTGTTATCTGTCACAACAATGCCGCCGAGTTTCAAATATGTCATCCTCGGGGGAGGTGTCGCCGCCGTAAGCGATTTTTTTTTTTTGTATTTTTGGAAACTGTAAGGGATTTTAAACGTCCCTATCTTTTTTTTTTTTTGTTTTTTTTTAAAATTTTAACGTATCTGTTGTAGTTCCCAAGGGCGCCAATCTCACCTCAAGTTAAGGGGAGTTAAAAAGAAAGAGAAGAAATTGTTGACGAAACTCAAAGCAAAGCTCCCACTTCCCCTCTCCCCCCCC